GGCTGTTTGTTAACGTTGCCTTAAGCTAAACATTAATGAAGTGCCACACTTAAGACGCTTGCATGCCTCAATTATGTCCACCGCGCTCACATGTTGGCTTTCCAATTATGTAGGCTAAAAAACGAATGTGAAGAGACTGTTGCCTGCTCATTACCTCTCTCTGTGACTAGTAATTCCGCTTTCTTTCAGCTGCTTGGGTGTCAGGTGTACTTGCGTACACGGGGCGTCAAACAGCAACAACCAAACAGCGCAAACGCATCATGGGGACGGGACGGTTGTGGAAATGGGTTTTAACCAGGGAAATAACGCGTGATGTGAGCGGCTAGCTGGGCTTAGCGCCGGAGACGTTGTTCTGCAGACACAGAGGTGAAGCTTGGAAAGGCTCAAAATGTTGCCGGGTGTCTGAGGGCATTGCTTACTGACTGGTGCTGACCTTGAAGGAAGGGGCCGAGAACTAGCTACATACGTGATTGCAGTATGAATGTTAGCGGTACCTTTTCAGTAGGATTCTGCTGCTCCTTCTGCAGAAAGCTCAATTTTTCTGTTTCTGATCATTCTGCTACATATATGTAGAGAGACATATAAGAATAATATCAAATACGGTTCAGAAAACAGAATCCTTTTTATTGCGCTAGACACACAGAGGCTAGATAATAATTTTGGAAGCCAGAAATTGTTTTGTTTACCCAGTCCATTTTTATTATTATCATTAAGTGGGAGAAAAACCGACAGACAAAAATTCCTTCAAAACTGTGCAATAATAGCATAGCAGAAATCAGTGAACGAGGAAGAAAAAAAGCCACAGAGTAGCAATTAAAATGGTATAGTCTTAAACTTCACCAAATGGTATAGTATTAAGCATCACTTAAGGAACCAGATTAGAAGTTGACGCTACCTCTAAAAATCTCATTAAAGACTGGCTGCTTGTGGACTGCTGCATGTTTTGAAGGATTAATTATAAATGTTACAGCTAGTTCCAGTAATGAAGATGCTCTCTGGGTCCAAGAGTGACTAACTCAATTGCACCGTTTCCCTTCTAAAGTCCATTTGAAGGAGACTCGAACGTTGTTTCGGAAAACAGTAATAAGGTCTTTCCCGAACACGGTTTTACATTTCCACCAGCAAATTAGTGAAGTTTGTCACTAAATACTTCTCTGTCCCTGCAAAGAGATTTCGAGCATGCAGCTCCTAAGTCTGCAGTCTGCCCTGCGAGGAAAAGGTGTGCGGCTCGGTGACATTTGCTGGCTCAGGTGAGGCTTCCCTGGCGGCTAATGTGAATTTGGGGCTGCCTTTGGTGACTGTAGGCACAGAATTAGCACGTAATCCTGCCCTGTCGGTTCTCTGGGCGAGGCAGATCCCCCTCCAGCCAGGCAGGAGCTTTCCAGTCACTTCACGGAGGGTTTCTAGAGCCTAGCAGGAAGCAGTACCGTGTTGTGACCACCGAGGTGCCTTGCACCCTGCAAACCACAAAGGTCCTTTGGCCACAAGGCCAAAAGATGATGGTGTGCATGTCGGTAAGCCAGCATTGCCACAGCACGTGCTCCCTCACGCTTGTATGCTCTCTCTTCCCCTTTCTGGCTGAGTACGCGCTCATATACATCTATATGTAACTTGATGTCTGTCCAAGGAAAATAGTCTTTTTCCCAGCACTAAATCTGCAGCTCTCTGCTGCCAATGCTGCGCCAAGGTAGGAGCATGTGGAACAAGTTATGGCAGAGTTAGCCGGGGCATGAACTTACAGCACGCCAGCTATTGTGCAGACGAAGTATCTGCATGCGCAGTTTTCCCCTGCAGTCAACAGACGTGCCTCACCCCTCTCTGCAGTCCCTCTTGGCGTTTGCCTGGGGTCCAGGCTGTCGCCCGGCAGCAGAAGAGCCGCAGCTCGTGCCCTGGCTGTGCATGCCCGGAGCGGGTGCTGGGCTCTGGACGTGGTCGCGTGTGCAGGTCGCTGCGGGAGCTGGGGCGAGCAGAGGAGGCAGCCGGCGGGGGAAGGGGCAAAGGGAGTTATTCAGGCTGAAAGAATCGCTTTTTTGACCTTGAACAACGGGTGTTCAGATCGCCAGCCTGGAAAACGGCACGTCCTTGCACTTTCGTGTAAAAACCAAAACCCTCACCCTAAAAAGCACAGACAACCCCCTCAAAAAAACCCCGAGCCAAAGCAAAACAAACCCCACAGTCCAAAACCCCATCAGATTTTAGTGTTCAACTCCAGTCTTTTGCTCAAATGGACTTAAAAGCACCAGCAAGCACCTGCAGCAAAACCTGAAATAGATGCAAATGCCAATTAAAGGGAAGGAGTTCCTCCTAACCAGGGTACTTCCCATACCCCTCTTTACCTTACGGATCCAAACATTTCACTGGGTGTCTATGAGGTACAACCAAGTCACCGCCCGAAATTTAGGGTAACGAGTCATGTCACATTGCATAAGGCTACTGAAACAAAACCAGAACAAAATATGCATCCACATCCATGTACCATATTTAGACCAGAACCCTCCCACCCACGTACATCTCTGTGAACAAGATTCCGTGCTTGAAAAGTTCATAAAAATATACAATTTACCCAGAACTGTGTCTACCCTGCTCAGGCCCCACCGGGGGCGTAGGCTTCTCTACATATAAAATACACTAGCCCTGTGAAGTTGCTTTGCTGAGAGCACAGAGGTGATTTCTGCGATGAAGGGGAAATGTCAGAGGGCAGGGCGCGGCAGTGCATTACAGTACTGTCCTCTGCAGGTAAATTCAGCACTGCACGAAGCCTGCCAGCTGCAGCGCCCGAGCCCCTGCGCAGTGCAGGGGTGCGGCTGCAGACCGAGCGCAGAGGGCTCTGTCCTGCCCACGCTGTCTTAGTGAGGCACAGGTAACCGGGAGTGTTGCTTTTGAGTACGGCACCACAACCACACGCTTTGCTGGCCACAGACCGAGCTCCTTACGAGCGTGGCTGAGCCACGGGTACAAAGGAACCTTTCACAGTGACCAGAAGCGACCTGTCCCCTCGCTGACGCTTGTAAACATCCAACCGAGGGATTTCTGCAGAAATAGAAAGCGGTTACGGGGCTGCCCCTTGGCATCTGTCTTCCAGGTAGAGACATGAGATGCGCTAAATTCTACTCGCCGTACTCGAGCAGGATTTAGCTTAGGGGAACAGAGTAGCAGTATTTAGCCAACAGTAATTCTCACCAGAGAAGTACCGCTGCTGAGATGCTATACTGTAGTTTTCAGTTACCTGTGCCAGAAATACTTGCTTAATAAGATAGGGGTTCGATACGCTTTAGCTCTGCTTTTAGGCTTTCTTTCCTGTATCAAATCTTCTTGTTTAAATCTTTAGAATAGTGTAGCGTCTGGGTCAGATTCTGATCTCTCTATGTGGCTGTAATTCTGGCCAAATCAAGCTACACTTGCTGGGTTGAATTACTCAAAATTTTTTACTCCTGAACAGCACCTGACCCACTAATAAGTTAATAATATGGCAACTCTGCAAGCTCACTGCTACTTATAAACATCTGATCAGAGTTCGGTGCCAGCTTTGGGGGACAAAACCTGTCACCGGGAATGAGAACACCAGCCATTGAAAATAGAGATAGTCTTTCTATACAGTAGCAAACCATACAGAACTTCAACACTTTATACATTTTCTGTATGTGAAATTAAAGGAATCAGTCGTGTATCAAAACATAGTTGGCCTCTCTCATTTCATCTGTAGGAAGACTGCAATTACAACTTAATCTGCACTGCAAAAATATTTTTGGTTTAAACGAAGGAAACGGCGTGATAAGACAGCGTGCTGTATTTTACCGGTGCGAAGCTTTGCATATATAGAGCGCGAACAGGCGTGACCCGTGAACATCCGCTCGTGTCGTCGCTCTTGGGCTGGCAAGTAGTTGGATTCCTGGTGAGATTCATGTCTTGCGATCACAAAAAAAGCTTGACGGTGGTAACCAGACGTTTCTACTGCTTAGCTGTGTAGCCAGTATTACGTCTAGCAGAAAGCGTGAGATGACTAGTGATGGGAAAATATTATATATGCATATAGGTATGTTACTTCTAAAGTTGAAGTAACAACTGCAGCTACTTTTAGGAAATGCTAAGGAAGGAGGATCGAATCCCTGCTGTAAACCAGAGGAATGTAGATGTTTAGTAATTACAGCTCTATGTGACCGTGGAAAATCTGTATGCGAAGCTCTTTCCTAGTTGCGCACAGTGGAGGCTCCCCCTTCCGTCCCACCGACACGGCGGCACCTTAGAGGAGCTCCGCAGAGGAAAGCTGTCCCGCATGAGCGGGCTTTAAGGCGTGCGCTTTAACTTCAGCTGGTGGCAAATTTCTTTCAGGGACATTACTGATGTAAGCGACAGATTAATTCGTCCTCAAGCGACGGGCACGGTCAGCAGCTCGGTAACTGCAGGTGCCCTCCGAAGGGGTTCGGGCAGCGGTGGGAGGGTAAGGGCCCGGCCCGGACTGTGGTTACGGCACACCTGAAAGCGAGGGTCACATCTGCAAAGCCTGGGGGCTTGCACAGCGCCGCGAAAGGATTCTGCGGCGCTGCTGCCCAGGGGCAACCTCTCTCCTGCGGGCAGAGGCCCAGAAACCCTCCTGCTAATGGCCCGTGGCGTCTCACACCCCCGTGCAAGGGTCTGCGTGACCCTTGGCACCACGGCTGGCTAGGGCCCGGATGCTTTTAGCTGATAGGTACGGCAGCGGGAAGCTCAACTCGTACGTAAAGTACGTGCTGCAGTGTCTGGACGTAGGCTCCGAGACTGCTTAAAGATTTTGTCTTTGAATAAGCGGGGGCGGGGGGAATGTGTAAAAATAAGGATTTTGATTATCGTGGCAAGAGCAATGACAGGGATGCCAAGATACTACTGCCTTGCAAGATAAAGTGGCACATGTTCTACACAATAATGTGTACGATGTCTGACGACATTGGAAATCTGCTCTCAAGCAGATTTCCCAATAAATTAACACGACAAAAATACTTTCATACACAACAAAGTCCAAAGGATTTTTTTGTTAAAGTAAAAGCAAAACCTTCAGGGACTATATGACTTATCTCTCTCTCTACACATATAATCTCCTGAATTTTTTTAAATAAATTTGTTCTTGTCTTAGAAAAATAAAGTGAGTAGCCAATTTAGTCAACGGAAATTATCTCACAGACTTAAAAGCATGCCCAGCAAGCATAGCCTTGTAAGACTAAATTAATGTTAAATCAAAGCAATTTGTTACTAAACCGACCTAGTCTGCAATTCACAGTTGATTACTACAAAGTGTATTTTTAATTTTTTTTTGGCCCATATAAAAATAACATATTGCAACTCAAAGTGCATTTTTAAAATAAACAATCAACTATTTTTATCAAATAAAATATTTACACCATTTGGTTTTTACAGTCAGAAATGCGCTTCACGCGATGACCATGGGAACATCGTCTGAAAATCCAGTTATCATCGGGGCTTCGTCATCCTCATCTCCTGAAAAACAAACCCAGAGCTCGGTTACGCTGCCCTTGGCGTTTCACGGGGCATGAGTAAACTAGCTACCGAAGCTGGGCACAAAACTGCCCTCAGACCCAGTATACTGTGGCCTCGCTCGGGCTCTTGCCTGGTCGTGACATCTGTTTTATTCAAGTATTAGCTGAGTGGCATTTAGAGGGAGTAGTTTAAGTGAAGTTGCCAAAAACATTTATCCCGGGCTAGCTTTGTACTCTTCGAACAGGATCGAATCCACAGAGATTTTTATGCCAAAAGCGGGCCAAAGCACGACGGAGAACTTAGCTCTTACGCCGATTTCACGTTCTCAAGGCTGTGCACGAAACCGAGGGCTACGTACCTAAATCGTCTCCCGAGGAGAATACGGCCGAGCCCAGGCGGGAGCTGTAGTGGCTGTTAGCAAAGGCAGTGAAGCTGTTCTGCAGGCGTCTGTGCCTCATGTACAGCACCACGAAGCCAATCCCCAGGGTCAGCAGCAGCAGGAACAGCACCGGCACCACGATCGCAGCGACGTCAGTGGGTCTACCCACTTTTGTTGCAGACGAGTCTTCACCTACAGATGAGGGAGGGAGAGCAGTGCCATTAGTGACCGACAGCGCACTTCTCTAGTGAGTTTGTGAGGTTTTCATTAGTCTTTGTGAAGGGGGATGGGGAAGATGCCAGGGACTTACCAGCTCCTAGTTCGTCATAGAGAAGCGTGGCAGGCTCGCCGCACATCTGCCCGCTGTACAGGCAACTGGCCTGAACGGTGAATGAGTAGTTGTGACCTATTTTCAGGTTGGAAACTTTGAAGAAGTTTTCTGTGGTATTCCCAAGATAAGCCGTGATGTTCAGCAAGCTGTCAAACATGCGAATCTCGTAACCCTGAGAGTTGTGAAAACAAAAGACGCAAACCCCAAATCACTCGGCTGCAGAGGTCAGGTTTGCTCCTTCTGACAGGGCTTTGAAACTTGTTTATCCTCCTGAATCTAGCTTTGATGAAACGCGTCAGGCTAGCAGCCGGGAGAGAGCAATGTGGAGCCTCCTCCAGGCATCCGTCAGCGTGCACTGACCTTGGCCGGTTCAGGGAGCAGAGAAGATTTCGGTCTGTCTGGTTCACTCTGTTCTTAGCATCCACCCGAGACCACCCAAAACGCAGAGTTCAGTAACGGTGATGGCTATTTGGGAGTAGTTTGCTACCTGCCCCGGCCCTGACGGAGAATTCGTCACAGATTTTCTGTCAAAGCCTACATAATGACTATTCTCAGATGCTACCGATGTGCTTCCCGGCACGGCAGGGCAGTGTCCTGTTCCCACTCCTTTCAGACCTGTGACAGTTGACCTTTTCCCAGAGGATAATTACGTTCCTAAAAGGTGACCGAATGGTTCTATCAGCTTTAGTGCCTTCGGGGTGATACAAATTGAAGTGAGCTCTACAGAGAGGGCTCATCGAGGACACGTAGGGGAGCAGAGCCTCCTTGTGTGTTTGTAAGTCTGTGAAAGGAACCTTGCAGTGACTCTGCTCTAGGTTTTTCTGAAACACTGCCCGTAGGACTGGAAAGACAGCGCAACTTACCCGGCTTTCATTGAAATCACTTTCCTTCAATGCCAAACTCTTCCAAAAAAGCAGAATATGGTCATTTTCTGTTATAATTTTTAAGGCGTCTGGCGCAGACAGTGGAACTGCAAATGAGAAAAAATGGCCGGCGGGTTAGGAGACACTTTTCTTTTGGCGGAGTAACAGCAATGGGGTCACTTCTGAAACGTATTTTTTTAGGGATCAGCACAATACTCTGCTTGGAAGAGGGCTGTACTGGAGGAGAGGATATTGTGCCATGCAGTCTGGCAGGAGTTTTTCGGTGGGATTTCATGGTAGGACCGTAACGGTATTTCATCGTGTCCACACAGCCAGACAGGTGTCTTGCCCATCTCCATCTGGATAGGAGACAAATTTCAAATCGTTTGAGAGGCTTCCTCTCCACTGCTGATGTTCGGGGGTTTAACTGCCTTCCCTGGGAGCTGCAGGGAGGCCTCTCGGAGTTGGGCTTTGGCTGCGGCAGAGGGCTGAGCGATGCAGAAACGCTACTGCAGCCTCCACCCGGCACAGGGGAGGGACGGATCACGTGTGGCACGGGACTGGATTCCCTCCAGCGGAGACCGCTGCGAGGGCTCGTCCCGGCACCCACCCAGGAGTGCTCTTTCCTTTACCTGTGTTGATCTTCACGCTGGATTCTTTGCTCATGTTTCCCAGTTGAACAATCACATGGTATTTGCCTCCTGGTTCAAGTTTCTTAACGGTGTACTCCGCCGTGCTGTTCCGGGTTTTCACTTTGTAGATTTTATCTGTTTTTCTTACTAAATCTTTAACTGCGACGGCGTATAACTGGAGGGGGGGTGGAAAGGCACACACCGTGAAAGATCTTACTTTCCTGCAGACTGGCTAGCGATCTCGTACAATGGTAGGATATTAGATGGGGGAGGGCAAAATCTGAATTAAACCATGCCCGCACTCTACAGAAAGCCTGGGAAGTAAGATTTCAAGTCTTTTGCTGGACTAGCTGGATCCCTGCCCGAGATCAGTATTTACAGATACAGCAAATGCAGCTCCTGGAACAGATGAGGGCAGGAGGAAACTCTCAGGTTGTATTTCTTAATGAATCACAAGGATGCAATGCAAATTCCTGCCCTGTCAAAGTTGCCAGTTTTGCCAGGAAGATTTATACCTTGAAACCTTTGCCGTTAAAGTCTCTGGATCGGAATAGGAGCGGAAAGCTTGCTGAGAAAATGACTCGCCTTCAGTGGAGCGAGACCTGACTGTACGCCAGCGTGCCAGAAAACAGAACCGGGCTTTGTTGGGGCTGCGCCGGCGCGGCTGGAGCGGGCGGCACAGAGCCCGAAGCCCAGCTGGCCGGACGCCTTTAGCACACGCTCAAGTTTGCTTTCAGACTCCGCAACGGATATCCCAGACCTGGCTCTTTTAAAACGCAGCGTGAATGCTAGTGGCCTGAGCTAACGGTCAGTAATGTGAAGAGAGGAAATGCAGGTCCCGCTGGTGTCAGCATCTTGGCGACAGCTACTTAGAGGAAGGGTAGACCTGGTCTCTGACCTAGTTCTCTCATCAGAAGCAGGGCGGGGATCTGTGTTTGAGCCAGGGTTTTGCACGCAAAGGGACAGGAGAAGGCGCAGTGAGATCTTACCATGTCCTGGTCGGGCGAATCGTAGGGCGATTCCCACTTAATGACCGCAAACGTCTTTCCGGTGTGCACCGAGTGGAGGTGCCGAGGGGGAAGCCGGTTGTCAGGGATCATCTTCACCACAGCGTAGTCGGATGGTGGCCCTTGGTAGGGAGACATCACACGGACCTGGAAGGGAAGACACAGCGGTTAATACCGTGCCTGCACCCTTCAGTACCAAACCACGGTCCGCAGCGCAGGTAGGAGGGGGATCAGAAAAGGAGCCTACCAGAAACAGGTACTGCTCGTCCCGCTGCACGATCACAGTGATGTTGTGGGAGGTCGTGGTGGTGTTGTGAGGGCTTCTGTACAGCTCTAGGAAGGATGTGGCGTAGAAGATGCCGTAGACCTGCAGAGGAAGAGCATGACAGGGACGGTACAGATTTTGGCAAGGGCCGGAGCTCGCACCCAAACTTTCACTGGCTGTCGCTTTTTAGGGACATGACGCAAAGACCCTTCTTCCTCTGGGCACTCTCTTCTGCCCAAGTTCAGGTGTAGTCTGCCCGCTTGACGCAGCACTCTCTCTCCACCCTAAAATCCTGGGCTCAGCTCTGATAGCACAGCAGCCAACCGAAAGGCCACTGGAGCATCGTGCTATCTGTATTTCAGCCACTTTGCCACCAGATCGGCGGCTGAACAAATAGACTACGAGAAGGCTTGCCTTCCAGGTACTTTCCCTTGTGTTTTGAGCGCAAAATGTTCAGAGCCGTGCCATTCAATCTCTACGAATAATCCCGTTTTAATATTTTGCTCCTGTTTTTGAGGCTCTGAGCTAGACCCCCGTCCTAGCTGGTGAGAAAAGACAGTCGGCGCCTTACGACATTCCTCGGTCCGGTCCAGCTGCACTCCACCGCCGTCTGGTTGATGGCCTTGGCTTTGAGACTCGGTGATGCAGGTCTTGTCCCACTGGTCACCACATGTACAAAAGACAGAGGGCTGTCACCCAGCTCCGTCCTAGCCCAAGCAGAAATTTCATAGGGGGTGTGTGCTGTCAAATTTGCCACTGAGCAAGAAGAGAAACGTGCGCTATTAGATGGGGCAAAGGACTGCAACGGTAGGGTGAGAGCACTAGGAAACGGTCAACAGCATCAAACGATTTTCGACAGGAGCCTGCCTCCCTCGGTTTGTGTTTTGATTCATTAGGAGTAATTTTCTTTACACAGAAGCCCCTGGGTCTCTGGTATCTAACCTAGCCTGTGCTTTCCTGTAGCGGGATGCTATCCCAGATCTCGACTGTGCACGTCAGTGATTTTTCAAAACCAGAAATCTGATTAATAGGGACATGCACCATATACAAGCCCAAGAAATTGTCGATCTTTTGTGGAGCAGCTAAGGAACCGCAAGCAAACTCCCGTGTGATGAGAAAAGGCTCGCGCAGCTCAGGGGGGTAAAGTCCAAATCTGCTTGGAATCTCCAAGTTCTAAGAACAGAGGCCACTCCTGTGCTGGTTTTTCCTCCCCAGATTTACTCTTCCCCGAACAGAAGCTACTCGGTTGCCCAAAAAACTAAAAGACAACAAAAAATCCTAGACCCTTGAGTAAAACTTTCCATTTGGTGTTGACTAAAGCAGAATTCTACACTTTACACAGAAGTTACCTTTGTGGACGGACTTTTCTCCTTCTATGATCAGAGTTCTTTTTTCCTGCCTGTGTGTATCAAATGTCCAGTAGATGTCCACAACGTAACCGCTGACCTGTCGAGCAGCAAGGGTGCACAATACGAACTATCAGTTCAGCTGTTTTGGCATGCAGTGAGAGAGCCACCGCGGAAAGCCTTTGCATTGTATATTCCATCCTAATCGAGAGAGCTGGCGTGGTTGATGAGTGGTAAGAAATGATTTGGCGTGAAATAACTAGCTTCAAAAAGTAATTGCGATACTGAAACGGGTGACAGCTTATCCCATCCAGTATTTACCATTTACCCGGTGCAGGCCTTTTGTTTTTTTTTTTATTCTGGTTTGAGAAGTAAAGTTAAAAATTTTACCTTGATATTAGTAGTCATTTTTAGGCTGAAGCTTATGGAGTCCTCGCTGTAGCTTTCAATGTGTATGACAGGTGGAGGAATGACTGGAAGGAAAGGGAAAAACAGCTGTTAGCGCGGCACAAAGAAATACAAATAAGTCATCGAAAGGGAACAGGTAAAATACAGGCTTTTGTCATGCCAGTCATCTCTCAGACCAGGCACGCCTCCCCCTTTCCAGCCCCAAGCTCGCCTGCCTCGAAGACACGCACCCCTCCGAGAAGGCCCTGACACGCATGCTGTACCTCCATCAGTTTTCCAGTCAACCGTCTCAAAGCTGCCTTATCTGGGCCTGGCTCGGCACAGGCTGGCAGCAGAGCAGTCTGGACACAGGAAGGTTACTTCTGAACTCGGTGGGACAAGCTCGTATCCCAGTTAATGGCTTCTGGCTTTCAGAGGAAGTGGTGAGGGAGGCCAGGAGCTATCGGGGGGGACAGCTGCCAAACGCTCATGCCCCATGTGAAGTAAAAGTTATTACGGTTCTTTCTACCTCTGCTTTTCTAACCATCGGGTACTCATGTGCTTCATATTATCTGAATCCGGCAATTTTAGTAGCACGGTGTTTTCTCTCCTTCCTTTATCAACAGTGAGGATGCACTTTTATCTAACAAATTAGCAGACAATTTTGACATCACAGCACAGGTTTGGAAGAAAAACGTGGCGTGAATACAAATGATTGCCAAAGGCTTTTCTACAAACGTTTCAGAGGGAAACAAATTACTGTGTTGTTTGGATTTATCTGCTGTCAGACTGTAATGTCGTGACAGTTCCTGGGAGCCTTAGCGGTCTAACCTACGTGAGGTGCAGAAACCATCATAATCATAACCTAAGAGGGAGAAGAATGAGCAAGCATCCTTTCAGGCAGTGACGGCGAAGGAGGTAGCGGTAACGTGTCTCGCTGATCTAGCCCACACCAGACCTAGGTAGGATCTAGCCTAGACAAGCCCAGGAGAGAGGGGCACCTCCTGGACAGGTCTGACGCCCGCTTCCAGGGCAGTATATCCACCCGCCACAGTGGTGAGAGGAAGAGGCAGTGACCCGTTGAGATTCGCCACTGAACTTTGAGGCAGGTCAAGTTACACAAAACAGTACACCAAAGTTGTTACATAGTGTAAAACGCTCAACGGGGAAGAATAAAGAACAAGGAGGTGGTTACGCATGCTGATGCTAACGCTTCAGGCTTATATTCTGCATTTTGCTATGGGGTCTGGGGTGACTGAAACAACAACGTTTACCTTTGTCTTTTGTGGTGGTTATGGATTTGGAATCACTCCAGTTTCCCACTCCTCGACTAGTGACCGCAGCAACCTTTCCAAATGAGAGGGTTAGTTAATATGAACAGATGTACTCCGCCAGCATTGTATAATGCAGAGAACGAGATCTGAGCAAAGTTAGGGACGTGGCAGAGCTCATGGGAAAAGGACCTTGAAGCAAACAATAGCTTAATTACTTGGCAAGAAAATGCTTATTACAGAGATAAAGCAGACTACGTTAAGTCAGTTAAAGGAATGTAAGAGGAGGGAGGTGCATCTTCTTTGCACATAAGCGCTCTGAGATCTTTACGAGGAGTCCATCAAGATCAGGAGCTTTGAACTCTATCGGTAAGAACTGCGCCGGTGAAGTCCACGTGGGCGCTGAATCCAGTTCCAAAGATTTATTTGGGAACAGATTAGTACGGGAAGGAATACCAAGGAAGGAAAGACTGGCTCCCACCGAGCCAGTGAGAATAACATTGATTCATGGGCGGGGAGAGGGGTTTACCCCACCTCCCACCGAAGCTGCCCAAGAACCCGTGCTCCTTCAGCACGGGGAGAAGGGACAATGGCAGAGTATACATTTCCCAGGGCCCATTGCGCAGACTTTCATTTCTTATTCTTATTAGTTCTGTCTATAATTACACGGCTTCTCCCACGCGCACACATTCCCCACAGGCGCATCTGCTTCTTTTCCCAACCATACAGTAAGGACCAAATTTATCTGGGGCCCAGATCTGGTGCAATTGCAGTGACACTGGAACGGGCAATTAGTAATTTCATAACACAGCCTGGCCTTCTGGGAGAAGGAGCAAATCAAGGGCCTTAATTCAGGCCTTGAAACTGTACACATTAGCAGCGCAAATGCCAGGCCCAGATTGTGGGTTGACAGTAAAGGGCAGGATGTTAACAACCTACTTTTTTAGCAAGTACGTGACTGTGCAGGACTTGGACTATCTAGTGAAAAGTAATGAGAGCGTGTATAGATAGCGCTTTGAAAATACTCACTCTAACTGTGTATAACGTGTTGACCTGTAAGTTCTTGATCTCGGTGAAGTTCTTGGTGGTTCTAAGGGACGACCACTCCTTAGATCCACTCCTGCTGTATTCCACCTAGAAGAACCAAAACAAGGGATGAGGGCTCCACAGTCAACAGGGCCACGGGGTGACAGGTCACCCTCCATCAAAATGTCAGTAGAAAGAAGTACAACAGTTGAGAAAGGGAGCCAGGAATGAAATGATGAACTTGAGGGCTGTGTCGCTACCTACAGCCCTGCAGCATTTCCTCTCCCAACTCGCCTGACGTGCTCAGCAGATATCCTCCACGAAATGTCCTATTCCTGGCCCACCCCCTCTGCAGAGAGAGCCGTCTTCAGAAAGGCCAGCCGCCCTCAGCAGCCTTCCCTGTCCCACCACCGATCTCGACTCGGCCCCGTTGCGCAGCAGGACTCACGATGAATTCCCGTATGAGGCCGTGGGCGTTCACGGGGGGACTCCAGCAGCCCATCACCACTCCTTCAGCTTCTTTTTTCAGGGACAGCTGAAGGTTGAAGGGAGCATCCGGTACTAGGGAGAGAAACAGAGGTGTTAGTGACAGTCGCAGTTGAGTTCACAGGGAAAAGCAGGGTCTCCCTGAAAGGCTGGGACAGAGGGGGAACGGCCAAGCAGTCCTGGCTCACGGGACATGTCCTCTTCCCGTAGCTGTGTCCCGAGTCCCTTTCACCTCCCTCTGGAGCAATGAAGCCCTTTTTGTAACTGCGGTGACGCTAGGATTTCGCCAAGCTCTTTGCTTTGTTTTGCATCCCTTCCCCCACCTGACCTCCGCTCTGCAGCTAGAAGGATCTTGCTCCTTGCGTGTGGTAGCGGACAGTTGCACAGGCTCAGCACTTCACTAGGAGCAGACCTGAAATTCCCAAGGATATTAAACCGCTAAGTGACGGGGAAGAAAGAGGGCCGGGAGGTGACTCCGTGCAGGACTGACTCTAGGCAGGGAACCCGCAGCCCTTTTTCCCGGTCCAGCGCAATTCCCAGGCCTGAGCAAGGACTCCTTTTGTTCGTAACGGGGTAAGTCCGCGCTATCTGCTATCTAAGCCAAAGCGGCATGCATCGGGTCACTGATACGACCGTGCGGGTCTGCTTACGTCCTTCGGGTGCCCGGAGGGTGATGAAGTCGTTGGTGTTGTAGACTCGGCTGAGACACTGCACTTGGACTTTCACCTGATAGGTGCAGTCAGGCTTGAGGACTTTCAAAACGCTGTTGGTTTTGTTGCTGTGGGTTTCCAAAATCTTCCATATGCCTTCACCGACCATCCTGCACGAGAGTCGCGCCCATCCCGTCAGGACAGCGTTTAGTCACAAAGAGCGAAACCGCCTATCTGTATGTTGAGAGCTTGCTGCTTAGGTTTCTTTCGGGTAAAGCCACACCACCGGCTTGAAAAGATGCTCTTTGAAAGCCCAAACTAAACAGAGCTTAGTGACTCACAAGCACCATCCTCTGAGGTTTTCTATAACTGCTGGGTTCTAATTCCTCGACTTTGTTCTCATTGTTAGCAGTCCTACAGACGCAAGGCCCGAGCGGAACAAAACCCCCGAATGTAGCTACGTGACCGTCTGAGTAAAGAATCGGGGAGGAAACAAATACGGCTCTTCACAAACGCCCCTAGTTACAGCTATTTTGGGTCTCCTTTGCAACCAAGCATTAGGTTTTCCGAGCAGAACTAGGCTGCACAGCTCTCTGTCTCACAGGCCTGAATCTGTACGGCACTTTGCTGTAAATACAGTCCCTGCGCTCACGCCTCTCCTAGCTTTCGCTCGATACGAATAGCAACGGGCCACGCGGTGTAACGGGCGGCGTACCTGTAATAGACGTTGTAGACACAGGAGGTTGAGGACATTCTTTTTGGCCGAGCCCACGTCAGAGTGACATCGCCAGAGAAATCGGCCATCCACTGGAGGTTCTGGACTTTGTACACGATGGTGTCATCTAAGCAGGCAACAGGAAATGTTAGTCTGTCGGAGGGAAAGCAGCCCTTTGCCCAGAACAGAAACAGGAGTCATGTTTGTAGCACAGACAACACGCGGAGGTACAAACCGTAATAGGAGTGCAGAGAGTATTTGCACCATTCAAATTAGATGTGTAATTTAGGCGGACGCTACCAGCGGAGAAGAGCGGGCTTGTCAGAAGGCAGTTCAGAGCAGGAACATAAACCTGGGGCTCCTAGCTCTCCCCAGAATGTCTCGGTTGTCTGTATGCTGCATCATGCAAGCATCCCCTTTCCCCCAGGAAAAGATAAAAGCGCGGCTGTTTTTGAAATACTCTTTAACAGTATTTTGGAAGCGTATGAGTGCAAACTCGTCCGTGCCAGCTAAGTCCCTCTTCTACTCGTGCGATGCACCTGCGCGGTCACTGTAAGCCATCCAGGGCCTTTCTTTGTGTGCTTTTCCTTATCGCGTCTCGCGTGCAGCCGAAGGACCCGAGCGAAGGCTGGTAATTAAGGCGGGAGTCTGGGGATTGCCTTGACGTGAGCTGTGCGGCTGAATCGCCGCCCGACCTTGGCAGAGGCACGTAGGGGATAACAGCACCGTGAAATCAGCGCCGGCAGTGGTGGGGACGCGGGGTGCTTATCTGAAACAGCCCAAATCCATGCCCTGCTCTCTCCCTTTGGGGACCGCGTGTCGGAGCCCACATCCGAGTGCCGTGGCCTTGCCCCGCGCGGGTGCTCAGCTTCATTCCCAGTGCTGCGCAGAAACCAAGCGGAGCGGAGCCACACTGCTGCCGCTTCGCTTTGCCTAACCAACTCGAAATGAAACCCAGCAGGCACGCGGGTCCACGCACAGGCATGGCAACACAAGCTGTCCAAGGGCAAAGAGACGCTTTCCCCTTGGCGCAGCAGCCGAGCCGTGAACCTCCGCAGCTCCTTCCCCCTCCCCTGGACCTACCAGCCTCTCCCAATCAATATTTAATTAAAGAACGCAAAGCAGACTGATGCTCAGACCCCCAAGCAGTGCAGCAGGAAAGCAGCTGAAGCTCGCGGCTGGCCAGAGACAGCGATTGATCGCTGTTCTCTGCCCAGGGCGCGCTGCGGCGTGCATCCCACCTGCCTCCGCGAGGCCACCGAAGGCCAGCGTGGGAGGACGAGTGATGGTGGCGGGGCACGTGCCTTGGCTCCCAGGGTCACTCCGCAGAGGAGGGCAGAGCCAGAGACCGTGGGCCGCGTAAAGTAGACAGCTTTTCTCCCACCCGTCCTAAAGTTGTTGTGTTTGTGTCTGAGGCTGCTGGAGGACAAATTGCCAGCGTAGAAACTGGCCGGGAAGTTTGTCCCAGCTGGTTATAAATGGGTGAAGGGGTAACTTGGGCAACTGAAGAGAGGCAGATACGTCTAGGACGTTGTGAATGAACGGCCACGTGCTCGGGAGAGCAATTCCGAGTGCTAGCACAGATCAGGGCGTGTGAAACGGGACCGGGCTGCTGCTTACCGGTACAGTTCCTCTCATCGCTGCTGTCTGAGCAGTCCAGATATCCGTCGCACCGCTCTGTCGCCATAATGCAGGCTTCTTCATCCTCGCACTTATAACCATTAGGGCACAACAGGCTGCCGTGAGTAGCTGAAAGAGGCGGAACGGTTTCAGGACTCGGGGCAGGAGGGTCCCCTCGCCGGTGCCGGCCCGTTGGCAATGCCAGCGCTGGCACCGCCGCTTCCAAAGCAGGCTGGCGCTGGGGCGGGGGGCTGGCGGGGGCGGAGGCCGGGCAGAGCGC